TTTTTTTTTTTTTTTTTTTTTTTGGGTTTTCTCTCCTAGTGGTTCGCTACTTCATTGCCAGGCAATTTTCGGGCTATGATGATTGACAATTGGGGTTCTCTAGGTCAAGATGGAATTTATGATGGCCTAATTTTAAAAAGCAGCAGGTTTAAAATAGTATTATGTAAAAGAAGCATAAAGAGTAAAAAATTTAGAAAGGAGCAGATTCGCGGAATAGTTTGGCGCATTTAGAATGCGTCAAATATTTGGATGCATTCTAAATACGCCAAACGGATTGGCGTATTTGTAAGAGAGAGAAAAGAGAGAGTGAGGAGAGAGGATAGGAAGAGAGAAAAGAGAAATAGTGGCAGGAAGAGAGATAAAGCTAACTGGAGAAAACAATTGATCGGAGAGAGAGAGAGTTAAAAGGAGAGTTAAAAGGTCACGGTAGAGAGAAAGAGTATATTAAATAAAATAGCATTAAATTAATACTTAAATATTTTAAATAATAAGTGCAATTAACTGATATATTATATATATGTTTTTAAGTAATTAAACTAATATTTAAATAATTTAAATAATAGTTAACTGATTTATATTTAATATTTAAATAATTATTTTAATGATAAAATGATATTAACTATTTTTATTTAAAGATATATTAATTTTATTTATTAGTATTATAAATATTACTTAAATTTTTTTATTTTTAATTAATATTAGTTAAATATTAATTTAAATGTTATTTTAATTAATATTTAACTCTCTCTCTTATTAGTTTAACTCTCTAAATATTTACTATCTTCATGCACCCACATGCTCTCCCTCTCTACTCTAGTGTCTCTCTCTCACCGGTCAGCTTTTTCTCTCTCTTCCTACCCACTCTCTCTCTCTCTCTCTTTCTCTCTCCCCGTCATCTCCACTCCCTCTCTTTTTCTCTCTCAAGGCTATTACGCCAAATAGTTTGGCATATTTAGAAAACGTTTAAATATTTGGCGCATTCTAAATGCGCCAAATTATTCAACGTATTTGCTCCTTTTTAAATTTTTTTTAATCCTGCTCCTTTTACATAATGTTGTTTAAAATGTGCTCCTTTCGAAAATTTGGCCATTTATGATATTGTTTAACCTTTTTATATGCAACTTGTCTTCAGAGTAATGGTGAAATTGATAGGGATATTAATAATAGAATTTAATTTTGGATGGATGAAGTGGAGGAATGCATCGGGCTTGGTGTGTGATAGAAAAGTATCTCTCAAACTTAAGGAAAAATTCTATAAGATGGTGGTTAGATCTGCAATGCTTTATGTCATAGAATATTGGCCAATATAAGAGAAGCATAATATTAAGTGTTGTAGAGATGAGAGTGCTCAGGTGGATGAGTGGCTTTACACTTAAAGACATGATACAAAATGAGCATATACATGAAAAGGTTGGAGTAGCTCTAGTGGAAGATAATATTAGAGAGAGTCACCTTAGATGGTTTTGTCATATAAAACAACAACCTTCTGATAACCTGATTAGGAGATTAGGAGAGTAGATATTAGATTTAACTTATGTTAAGAAATGTAAAGGTAGACCTAAAAATATTTGATTAGAAATTATTAGAAATGACATTTCTTTATTAGATATAAACAATAATATGACTTTTAACCATACACAATGGAGAAAAAGAATTCATTTAGGCGACACCAAGGTACATAAGTTTGAATCTAAAATCTCTTGATTGATAGCCGAAGCTCCAAATCAACATAATAAGCTGCATAAATAAGTAATTCATCTAAACATTCGATTTTTTAAAATAATTATCTGCGTCTCTGATCTATATTAGATCGGGCGGTTCAAATTCGTTAGTAAAATGGGTCCATGGCAGTCAGTGTGCTGAGTCAGCTTGTTTAGTTTACAGCCACATGCGCTATCGCATGATGATATGAATGATTCATTTTTTTATATAAATATATATTTTTATTTCTTAGAATGGAAAAGCTTGCCGGCACTTCACATGAAACTTGACAGTCTGAAGCCTGAGAAGGCACGCGGAGGAAGAAGAGTAGAGGGAGAGGGTGAAGAAGACCGAATTAAAGGAAGGAGGAAAGAGGAAAGAGGGAGAAATTGGGCTGGAAATCCTTCCTGCTTTTACTTCTACTTTGTGTGATTGTGGCGGAAATTTGGTTCCATTTTGTGTCGCTTCTACTGAGATCAACTGGTAATGCTCTGAACTCTTTGCCGTTTCTTGTGCACTTTTTTTTTCTCCATTTCAATGAACTTTACTGAGGCTTGATGTTCTTGATGCGGCGTCTCGATTCCCATTACCTTTTCAGAAGAGGGGGGATAAAGTGATTACCCTTTAGGATTCCTGTCGCGGCTGCCGTAATTGCCGCACTGAGAGACGAGGTTCTATTACGACTGTTTTGGTCTGCAGTCCCTTTCTTTTGGGCATTATTGAAGAGCTTTCCCTGGCACTTGAGCTATTTTGGCAATACTTAATCAGTTCATTACTTGTGCTGGAGATTAGGGTTTCTTTGTTTTGGCTGGACACAGAGGATGTGCGATGGGTGCGGTTGATGTTTACTGCTGGACTCCACAGGGGGTCATCGATGAGAGATGGATAAGGGTCTTCATGGAAGTGGCTTATATTGGCATGAGAGTGCTCTATAAAGTTGCTTCAGTGCGTGATTCAGTTTAGCCAGTCAGTATTACTTTCATTTTTGACCTGCATAGGTGCTTGTGGCCTGAGTTAGATCTTCCGAGTTAATCGTCTTTATCTTTGTATTATGTAGAAAGTCTGATGATTCCTGTTTTTGGAACGGAAAATAGCAATTTTTGTTAAATTATTTTAGAAGAGTTGTTCATAGAAAATATGTTCTCAGAGAATTGTTGGGCTAATATTTATATAAACAGTTGATTGATGAAATTTGAGATCAGACCAGTCAGTTTTTGGTAGCATAGCAGTGATGAAAGAACCTGTTAGTCTGATTCATTTCTATTTGGCTTCTTAGCTACAGATCCCCTTTTAACTATGCATGGGACTGGCCAATAGAAATAGGAAGTTCTCGGAGATTGTTCATATGATGAAGACCTGGAGCCCACGAAGGTCAGAGCCAGAAAATGTGTTGAGAGACTTCTGGATGCCAGATGACAGTTGCAGGGTTTGTTATGAGTGTGATTCACAATTTACAGTTTTTAACCGTAGACATCATTGCCGTCTGTGTGGGCGTATATTTTGTGCAAAGTGTACCTCAAATTTTGTGCCAGTTAATTCTGATGAGTCGAGGCATATGCAGGAAGAAAATGAACGAAGAATTAGGGTTTGTAACTATTGCTTTAAACAATGGGAGCAAGACCTAGCAGCTAATAGTCTTGGTGGTGGTGTTTCCACCTCTCCTCTGGTCCTCGACCATTTTCTTTCAACAACTAGCTTGACTAGTACTCAGTCAAGCGGGACAACTAGCAGCGGTGCAACAGCTACAGGATTTGGGCAATACTCTCCTGGTGATTATCAGAGTACAAAATGTAGCTCAGGTCATAGCGTCAGTCAGTCCACGTACATTGGTCCAGTCCCTGATAAACAAGATATGATGATGACTGAAGGAAACATGGATTCAGTTGCCGGGACAGTACATCCTCCCTCTAATGAGTTCGGCTTTTGCCTGAATAGGTATCATAATGTATTCTCAATTGTTTCTGTTTTAATTTTATGTTGTTTTATGTCTATGTTCTAGTTGTTTGGAGTTAGTAAGGTCTTTCTCAGTGAGGAAATGGTTTTTGTCTCATTTCGTATAAATTTTCCTGTGAACCTCTTTATACTTCTTACATTTAAGTGACTAATCTTGTAACACCAATGGCTTTCTCCAGCCATCATGGCAGAGGAAGGCTATACTCACTATTCTTTTTTCTTAGTTTCCTTTTTACCTTCGTTCTAGGAGAATGAATACTACTGTCTCTCCTCCGCTTTGGTATTATGTTACTGAGTCCCTACAGCTTGATACATGCTTTCAGAGATAACCGCAAACTTATATTGCGTGTAGGGTAGAGTAGAACCAATGCTTTTATTTTCTATCTGACCTTTCGGTTTTAGTTTATACATTTTTGTAACCTATTTTATTTATTGTGATAATTTCACAGCACTGGTAAAGGTACAGTTCAGCACCGATGGATTTAGTTCTAGTTAAAAATGTAGTTTCTTTGGAGCCTTCTCAAAACATGTTGTTTAGCTAGCCCATGTAGATGGAATTTTGGTTACTGAATAATGGTCACTTATTCTGGATGGGGTTTCTTTCAGGAGTGATGATGAAGAGGACGAGTATGATGGTCATTCAGACTCAGGAAGACACCAGTTTCTAACTTCTGCTGATTATTTTCATCCTGTAAATTTTGATGAAGTTCACCGCGGTTACTGCTCAAATGGAGTTCATCCTGCTGCAGAATTTAATGATGTGGAAGAAAAAATTTCTCATGCACATGGTGAGATGCTGAGTTATGATTTGTTGGAGAAGGATAAGACTTCTGAAGAGTTGGGTCATGATAATAGCTGTGAGTGCAATGCTTCGTCTGCCATATATGGTATAGAAAGTACAGATAAACAGCCTGTGGATATTGAGAACAATGAACGGCTTTGGCTTCCTCCTGAACCTGAAAATGAAGAAGATGAACGCGAATCTTCTTTGGTTGATGATGATGATGGTGAGGACACTTTAGGAGAGTGGGGGTATCTGCAATCGAACAGCTTTGGCAGTGGTGAGTGTCGAACTAGAGATCGGTCAAGTGAAGAGCACAAGAAGGCCATGAAAAATGTTGTTGATGGACATTTCAGGGCTTTAGTAGCTCAACTTCTTCAGGTTGAAAATCTTCCTGTTGGTGAAGAGCATAACAATGATGGATGGCTGGAGATAATTACTACTTTGTCATGGGAAGCAGCGACTCTGCTTAAGCCAGATACTAGCAAAGGTGGAGGTATGGATCCTGGTGGCTACGTGAAGGTCAAGTGCGTGGCTTGTGGGTCTCGCAATGAAAGGTTTGTCAAGATTGTTGATGATTTTTCCAAGAATTCTTTTGTTTAATCCGTGAAGATTGCTTTTCTGTTGAATTTCATTGAGTTCACTGAATTTTGATTTTTTTTCTTATATTCTTTATTTCACTAAGAAAAAAATGCTTATGCATAGGTGAGACCTATGCTTGAACATTATTTCATTAGACTCTGGGTTAAGGCCTCCTGCTTGTTATGCATATTCTGAAATTTATTCTTTTCTGTTAGCAAGTAATATGAGTTCTGATAAGTTTCCTATGGTTTGTTTTTAGTAAAGTAATAAAAGGAGTGGTTTGTAAGAAAAATGTTGCTCATCGTCGGATGCCATCAAGGGTGGAGAAACCACGTCTTTTAATCCTGGGAGGAGCTCTTGAATACCAGCGGGTGACAAATCTGTTGTCCAGTTTTGATACTTTGTTGCAGCAGGTATGTTTGTAGCTTCTCTCTCTCTCTCTCTCTCTCTCTCTTTATATATATATATATATATATATATACCCTAGTTAAAAGGAGAATTCTCATTGAACTCCCATTTCAAATTATTACCATCAAATAGAAGAACTGAACTGTAAAATCTCTTCACTATCATTTATCATTAATTGGATGCATCAAATTTTTCTCAATGGATAATTTTGATTTTTAATGTGTAGAGAAATTCAAATGACTTGGAATTAAATACATGGAATGTTGGCTATATTTAGAGTATATTTGATGATTTTGATAGGTTAAATATATAAGTAAAACTAGCATTTTTAAGATCATTCTTTTTATTGTATTATTGATGAATGATCAAACTACTAGTAAAGTTTGTGAAATTTGATCTATTAGTAATTTTCATATGGTAGATCATAGTAAATGATGTGATTTATTTTTATATATAATAAATCAGAATTAATGGTGTTGAAGATTATAATATGGTTGAAGCAAAATAAAAATTAGGAGGATGTCCATTCTTATCCTAAGATGAGCAAGTGACCCCCAACACCCTCCTCCAAATAAAATTTTAACGGCCTCCCTATGCAAAAAGGGAAATAAGAAATGTTGTTTTATCTTCTACCTTAGCTGGAGTTTTCTCTTGATAGGAATCCTGATGAGGACATCGAGGATCAATGGCTACGATCGTGTCTATTTATTTTGATGTATTTGATTTGTTATTCGTACTTTTCCCTTTCTACCCTCACTTGAGGGCTTTGTCTTATGTTTGCCCTAGGGACAATTGTGTCTTTTATTTTCCTTCATGTATTTGGCTATTTAAGCCTTCCCCTTTCTCTTGGAAAGGGATGATGATTGATAAATGAAAATTTCTACTTTTGATATCTTTGTGAGTTCATTCTTCCAAGATCTTTTAGTGAGTTCGTCTGAAGAACTAGATCTCTTTGTGAGTTCTAGCGTTCGTCCAAGTTAATTGTGTGGATCCGGATTGAAGACAAATGAGGTTAGTGAATTCATAGTCGCTCGAATCCCTTGAATTTTCCCTCTCTTCCTCCCCTCGCAATTGCCGCCGCCTAGCCCTGAGCCGCCCAAGCCGCCGGCCAATTGGTGGCCATATCCCGCCGGCCGGCCACCCCACGCCGTGACCCACCCCTTGCCCTTCCTCTAGTCGCCGGCCGCCCCTTCCATGGAGTTTCAAATTTTGAAATTTCATATTGTCATGAGCCATTAATTGTTTCCTAATTTTGCTCCTTAATTTATGTCATCAATTTAATTGATTTTCATCTTCGAATTTGAAATTCAAATTGTTTAAATTGATTGCCCTCCTAAATGGAAGTTTTCTCTCCTTAAGAAAACTGAAAAATTATTTCAGATTTTTGTAAAAATCTGAAATTAAATTGGTGGTCCCTACTTATTCAAAACTCAAGCCCCTCTCTCCTCCTTATGTGGCCGGCCCCTCTTAATGGGCCATCTCTCTCTTCAAATTACATTAATGGCTCCACTAAATCAGCCCCTAATTACCTCCTCCATTAATACCCATAGCTATTATTGAATTAATTTGAAATTTCAAATTAATCTCCCTCCAAAACCACTTGAAGCTGAAATTAATTTCAGTTTTCTAAATTCATCTCTCTCCCTCTAGCTCACGACTAAACCCTCCTCTCCCAATTTACTGGCTGCTCTCCTCCAGCCCACTATCCACCAGTTTCATACAATTTCCTGCTGTCCCGCATCTTTGGAGAGACGCTCAAGGGCCAAAACTGCTGGTCAAGCCTCCATAGTGGGTGTCCAAACACCCCTAGCTGCTGTTCACAATACCAGCAGGCTTCTTCCTACTGTCATGTCGTCCAGAAGGTTTCCACACCCACTGCCTCAAGTTCCTGGATGTGTTACCCTGCTGCCCTGAAATTCCTGCCAAGGAAATTCAGTAGTTTCCCTGCTAAGAATCCTCCGGTCAACAGTTTTCAGCAAACAATTTGCTGTCCTGCATCCTGAACATTGCTAATCGCTGTCCAGAATTTCCAGGCGTTCCACAGCAGCTGTCCAAGGTCTCATTAAGCCCAATAGGTGGCAGCCCAGAATTGCTTTAAATGCTCAGAGCTGCTGTCCAGCTATTTCCGTAAGCTCTTATTGCTGTCCCGCCACCTAGGAGCTCCAGATTGCTATCCAGCAACATCATGAAGGTTTTGTTGCCCGGAAGACTCCATCTGCTGCCCACCCACAGAACTTCGCCAAGATCAACCGCCTCAATTCAGAACTTCCTCTGCGCACCTCAAACAAGACCTACGAACTTGACTATGGTGAACTCTTCCCCAAGTTTCCTATTTTCCTAGTTTATTTTCAATTGTGGTTATATTTTGACTCACAAAGTTTATGTCAAATTGTCAAGCTCTTCACCGCTAAAGCTTAGAAAACTAGAGAGTTGAGCGAGGGACTCATGCATAGTGCCTAATCTCATTGTTAGTTTAGGGATTTACGTTGAAAATAATTCATGTACGCAATGTTAGATTAACTTGATTGTTTTATGATCTTAACTTTTACGCGCGTGATTCGGCCTAAGCTTGTCTTACTGCTCTTTGTGTTTTCTTTTGTCGTTCAACATCAACATAAAGTTTATAATTATTGTGCTCTAAATATTAAGTGTGCAAATTCATCAAGTATATCATCTTTGCGTGATTGTTTCACATCAAATCCAGATTTATTTGGCTGGAAGATTTGATGATATTGATTCCTAGATGAAATTCCATCTGGTGTAGCCTGGACTGCTTGTGGTTTTCTCCCTGGATGGCAATTCCTGTAGAAAATCCTCCTTGACAACTATGGTTTTAGCCTAAATGGAAGGCTGCTAAAGTTGGGGTGATGGATGAATGGTTTCTCTAGATTCTGACTTCATTTTGGACAGCTTTCTTACTACTTCTTAAATCAAGCCTCTATCAGTTGTATTCAGTAGTTTTTTAAATTAAACCTTTTGTAAATTTTCAATTTTCCTTTTTTGCTAAGGTGAGTTAATTTCAAATTAAACCTTTTGCTTTTTATCTTGAGAATTAGAATTGTTGTTTTCTTCTTCTTATAATATTATATTTATTATAAGATTAGAAAATTGTTGAGACCCGCTAAGAAAATTTGATGTATTTCAAAAAAAGCTGCTTCATAAAGATCATTGTTGAGACCCTCAAAGATCATTTGCTTTAAATGTTTATACATATACTAATTATTTTCTCAAATTTGTTGCCATAATTAATGGAAGGATTATTCTGTCATATCATTAAGGCATATCTAGTTGATATTTTCCCTCAAATTGATGTTGTTGTCATGTCATTTCATGACCTTCATAAATATATCCACTGTTTGAAGGTTTGTAGAAATACGAGGAAGTGAAATAATTCTGGTATCGAAGGCTTGCTGAATTGAGCGACAATCAACTTCAATGTGATTTGTGTGCTCGTGATAAACAAGGTCGGAATCAATTTGAATGACTCTGATGTTGTTTGTATGCAATGATTATCATTATTTTGAGAAAATAATCTTGTGATTGATTTTCTGGTACTATGACGCCCGACCTCATCAACATCGCTATAAACCATAAGATGAAGAGAAGAATCATTTGGAAGGAACAAACCACATCTTGGTGTCCCAATAAGATATTGAATGATTCAACGAATACCAACTAATATAAATGATGTGAAATTTGCATAAATCAACTAAATTGTTGAATCGTGAGGGAAATGTTAGGTTGAGTAATTGTCAGATAGTTTAAGTTGCTTTCAAAATTATTGAAATATAGTGGGATCTTGGAGAAGACCACCTTCCTCACTACGATCCTTTGTGTATAATAGAATATCTGAGGCCACCTAAAGTAATAAGATTTTTTGTATACTTGTGTTGGTTTAGGAAAATATCAAATCGATTAACATGAACCTCCAAATCTAAGAATTAAGAAATCAATATTCATCATATGAAATCTTGTTTAAAGAAATTGCTGCAGATGACGAATCATATCTAAATCTATCATAGTACTGATGATGTCATTAAAATAAACTAGGAGAATAACAATACCATTGGATGTCAAATAATGATGAGTCATATTAGTTCTATTGAAAGGAGAAATGAAAAAGGGTTGGCTAGAATTTATCGAACTATGCATGTGGGGACTTCTTTCAAGCTATGTAAAGTGTGCTTCTACTTGCATAAATCTAAAAGAAAATAGAAGAGGTAGAGACATCAGATGCAAGAATCATTTTTATGTGGACATCCAACCATCCATGTCTATTCGAGGAGCTGAAGATCGACGGTTGTCATTGTCTCACGTTATCTTAAATTTTACTTGTAATTTTTATTTTTATTATGAATTTTTCGTTTTTACTCTCACTTAAGAGGGTCGTCCTATGTAAGCCCTAGGGGCATGTGTCTTATTTTAGTTTCTTAGGCCTATATATAGAGGCCCTTTCTTGTGTAATGTAATGATGAATTATTAATAAAAGAAATTTTGTTTGCACTTGTGTTCTTTGTAGAGAACTTGGGTGAGATTCATATGGGAGGGAATTGGAGTTTCCGCCAGCAGCAGGATGGGTCCGGGCTCGTGGCTTGAAGTCCCTTGGAGAAGGGCAACATATTACCCGTCAGCTTCAGGATGTGTTCGGGCTCACGGTTGTATCTTTCTTTCCCTAAATCATTTTCTCCTCCCTTGACCGCTGGCCAAAATCCCCCACTTGCCACCGGCCGATTCTCCCACAAACCCCTCCAAAGCCACAATCCTCCTCCAATTTATCCATATCAATCGCCGGCCACCCATCTCTTTTTTCCTCTTAATGATGATTTCAATCATCATTAATACCTACAAAAATTAGCCTAACTAATTTGGGGTAAGAATTAAATATATTCAAATTTGAATTTCAAATACTTTCCTAAAATTAACTAATAAGCTAAATTAGAAAAGTTCCTAAATTTAAGTCTAATTTGATTTTAAATTAGATTTGATTTAATTACCATTTTCCTAA